AAACGGAAATTGACTGGTCAAAAGGTTTGGGGGAAATGAGTACAGTACTTCTTTGTTTGATGAAGCGATGCTGATGCCACATTGTCGCCATAATGAGGCCACAATGAAGCGAAGCGATAATCGCCTAACTTTTTAATGTCGCGACATTGAAGCGATGCTGAAGCCATAACAATGCCATAATGATGCGATGCTGAAGCGAAGGTGAAGCTGAAGTGAAGCCAAAGCTTCCGCGAGAACTGTACTGTATTCTGCCTAAATATAGGGTTTCAAAATAAAAACATCAATGTTATTCTTTTTTGTTTTCAGTTGGTTTCATAGTGGCATAACTAAACAAGAAGCAGCTGAGCGGCTTATGATAGGTGAGTACTACATGTGTATGGGCAGCAATACTGTCTAGGATTATCAATATTATATTGGTGATCAATTTAATGCTATTTATCGAGTACATATTAATGCTTAGGTTACCTCTTATCAAGTTACCTGGTTATCAATTGCTTGCCAAGTCAACCGTTTGCCAAGTCATTCTATTGCCCTGTCATCTGCTTTCCCAATATGTTGATTGCCTGCCTAAGTTGACATCATTCCAAATCAACTGCTTCCCCAAATTAACAGCTTCGCATGTGAGCAAATGTTGTTCCAGAGCCGTATCTTAGACATCTGTTGACCATTTATGTTCAAACTTTATAGACACATTTGCAACCAAACTTTACAACTACATTATACATTAATATAATTTGTTTCATGTTCGCATTTCAGTTTGGTTTACTATTTAACTAAGGGACGACGTCAAAAGATCTATGTCGGATAAAAAACTTATTTGCTTTAGTTTGGGGGTGAGGGGGTTTTGACCTCAAAAAGTTTCCATCCTACAAAAATGATTTTATTTTTTAATGAAGTCAATCTTGAGTATTTGTAGTTCGTTTTTTTCTATCCAATCATAGACAAAAATAACAGAAAATGGAAAAAAAACACATCCAAGACGAGAAAATGTTTGGTCCGAGTGTAAATATGTGCGTCAAATGAGGTCAATTTCAGGGCATGAACCTAGAGCATGCGCAGAACCCAGAAAAGTAGTTTGCGCATGCGTATATTCCCCTTCATTATTACAACTAAGTGCTATGCCATACTACTGTCCGATTATCGATTTGTGTTTAATGGTGAATGTAGTCTGACGCCATGATCAATATTTATAAATTAAGATTCAGTGGGGGGGGGTGGGGGTGGGTGGAAAAAACTAAAAGAATTAAGTTTTTTATCCGACATCAATCTTTTGACGTCGTCCCTAAAATTGTTGAAATTGGCATATATGATGTTGGCTATGAGAAATGCGTATAACGAATATATTATACATTAAATCTCAGACTAGTAATACATTGTATTACTAGTCTGAGATTAAATATTAGATGATACATGTCTTTGGTAAAACAAATAAACCTGGGTCACTTTGCTCTGATTCAATATATTCGATTTAAATCAACTATAAATCATTGATATATTTAGAAACATATGTGATATCACCCAAACCAGCAAACTGGATATATGATATCCGTGTATATATTAAACGACTCATTACCAGCGTAATATTGGATTTATATTAACGCAACTCAAGTAATTGCTAGTAGTGGATCAATTTGTATATTTACTATAATTAGACATAGTCTTTACCTTGCCGTTTATTCGGTGTTATTTGCTTACTTCAATTTGTATATTGACGGATTTAAGATTTATCGCACCTTAATGTATGTACAGTAGTTATGAAAATACTCCTACCATTGTCTCTTTCTCTTTAAAATTCACATTACCGGAATGTGTACCGATACCCAAGTAAAAAGTATAGTCAACTTTGCTGTGTTAATTACATGAAAAGACGAACATTTCGTGGTCTTATGTTCCCGAATATTTCTTGACAAAGCCACAGCAACGTATTCCATAGAGTCTTGTATGACGCTTGTTACATTTCAGCAACATGTAATTTTCCGGCAGTCACCAAGTGACACGCACCAATTCTTGAAGTGACACAACCGTCACACCACTTCATGCTCAATATGGATGTAAAAATACATTGTTTTGTTTTTCAATCAAAATAATGATTTTCAAAAATGACAAAAACAAGCTTGTTTAAAGATCATTTCCAGAAACAGATGATGAGAGTCGACACCCATGTGATATTATGGCATTGCAGACTCTTACAAACGGACCCTCTTTGATAGTATACTCTGGTATGTCTATTTTTGGAAATCCACCGTGCGCGGTTGTACTTATCTAGTTGTATTTAGTTACCATAGCAACTTGCAATATTATACACAGCAAATGTTAAACCCCAATTACACAATTCGCCCACAATAAAACATAGGTTAATAAGGTTAAGCTATTTTCTGAAATTATATAATGAGAGTGAACGTCTCCAAAACACAAGTCACGATTTTGTATCGAGATGGCTCGTGGCGGCGCAATATCTTGATATCTGGATGTTGCACTGGTAAGGATGTAATCGTACAGATAAGAAATAAGAGCGGGCAGAGTGTTGTAATAATAAAAATTGAGAAGCTCTCTCGCTGGGATAAGTGAATGGTGTTCTGTCCGTGAAAGTTTGTCGCAGGCATCTCTACCTGAATTGAATCTATCTGGTACGTGTAGTTACTACATGAACGTAAGTACGGATCCCACAATTATTATTAGTATATTACACTTATATATGTGACATATAACTAAATAAAACAACATACCGATGTTATATTATGTAAAATATTACTGGTATTATTTAGCGCATAGATTCTATGTTACGTCATAACTGAATGTGTTTAGGCATAAACCTTAGAAAAGGGGGACGTGCAACTACGGTACTTATAAAAGGGAAGCGCCACACACGGTGTGCAACGTTGGTTCTTAGACTAGTAATACAATTGTATTACTAGTCTGAGGTTGGTTAAAATCCTTTTCTCCGTTAGGTCAGGTTGTGACGTTATTATACACAGTAAATGAGCCATTTTAAAATTTCTTGTAACTTTTGTACTCATCGCAGTATACTATTTCTACAAATTCTCTACAATTTGTGTGAATCTAAGTATCAGGGGGAAATATTCTTTCTCTTCCTGGGTTCTCCACACGCGTCAGGGGGAAATCTCGTCTCGTCTCTCTATCTCGTCCCCTTGAGGTACAGGATCGGGAAAGTCACTTATACTTTACAGTCAAATAAGACGCACACAACGAAATACGTTTCAGCTCTCGTCTTAGTCGGTCAATCGAGCACTCTATAAGACACAGCGCCCTGGGGAAAAGTCCCCAAGAATCTCACAAGGCTGAACCAAGACTCGCCCAAGACTGGACTGCCTCAAGGCTCGCCCCTGGACTGGACTCTCGACTCGACTCGACTGCGTCTGTCGTGGAGTATTCGCCAAGACCAACTCAAACTCTCTTTATTCATTTTCAAAACTCTAACCAATTACAAAACAGTAAAAAGACTCTAGGGCGTAACCTTCAATCATAAAGCCAATCACACTAAGTACTGAATACGTCATATCTTTTGATTAATCGTTCACTACATTAATAACTATGAATATAAACTGTCAGAATCGCGACGGTTATCTGGTAATTAGTTCCAAATCACTGAGCCAAGTTCCGTCCAAAACTTCAATTAGGCCTAAACGATGACAGACATAACACAGCAATTCAGCTAATAATCAGCTAATTAAGTCGGTTAACAGATACGCAAAAACAAATCCATGACATAAGCATTAATATTCGAAGGTAAGTGTTATAACTTTTATCTAAACTTATCCTAATGCAGTAGATCGAAAGATGGTTGATGACTGTGTTGTGATATGATGGTTACCTGCCCCTGCAGTCTTGTTGTCATTTCAACAGCTTTCATTGTTCATACTGTTACCGTTTTGCATTTTTCGTTGAAAGTTTTAGTTGTAAAATCCGTCGGTAAAAACAAAGCTTCGATGTCACACGTTAATCGGACATAGCGTGTTTCCTGTTTAGGAACCCCTGACTCTACTCCAATATTGTTACCGTTTTGCACTTTTCGTCTTCGTTTTATAAAATCAAGATATAAATTTTCCGTTTTTATTATATTCAGTTGTAGTGCCTGACTATTTTATTTAAGGAAATAAAAAGTTGTAGTTGTAAAATCCGTCGGTAAAAACAAAGCTTCGATGTCGCACGTTAATCAAACATGGCGTGTTTCCTGTTTATGGAACTGGCTGGTAGTTTTTAAAAGATGTGCTATAAAGACATGACAGTTACATTTGTATATTTTTAGACTTACAACTATGGTTTGGATTACACTGTGTGATATTCTGTCCCAGAATGTTTTATAATTTTTTTTCCTTTGATCTTATAAATGCTGAACATTTTTTTCAGTTTACCCGACTACTACTACAGTACATGTACCTAGTCTACATGTAGACATTTCTAAAACTACATGAGGTCATTGGTACTTGATATCTTATTTGGCAGTCACAACTACATAACTAATTCCTTTTCTTTAAACAGTAGAACCATTTTTCCTTTCTCGTCTAGATAGAAAATATTTGATATTGCTAAAGTCATTGCTACGACTGAAAATTACTGTTCATTTTATATTATTATTGCTTTAAGGTATAGATGCAGGTTCGTTTTTTTGCTTTTTATTATCCAAACAGTATTGGCTATAGACTGTTAATATTTCGCAGCATTGTGAATAGTGGAACATACTCAACAGGTACAAACGTTTGAAACGCTCTTTTGAATGCTTAGCAAGATTTAGCAAGGGTGTACATAAATAACCAAAAAGAAACATGGTGTAAAAAGCAATGACGGGATCTGCATACTATGCACTGTATTTAACTTTTTACAAAACGATAATAGGTTTAAAGCGAACCTAAATGCGGCCTTAATTTATAGTTGTGTATATTCTAAACTGTATTCGAAATAATATTGCAGTGGTTTAATTTTGTTTTAATTATAACTGTAGCTTGGATAGGCATTGTTACAGCCATTTTAATTATGAGTATTAGCAAACTTCTTACTGATTAAATTATCCATTATCGCCACTTGTGTTTTTCAGATAACCAGGGAAGTTCAAATCTAAACAGCTCTCACATTTGTTGTTTATTTCAAGTGAAACTTTCACGTCACGTCCAGACGTATACATGTATATATATAGTATGTTTTGTTTTCATTTTACAAAGTTGTCAAGCAGGATGTGTGCCGTATATTCAATCCCGGTCAGTTTTTCACACTTCGAATGCATTGTCCGAGAATGCAAATCTTTAAAAATAAGCCCTCGACGTCCTTTTGTTCGTAGAGACGTCGTCGAAATAGTGTAAAAATTTCAAGACAAACCGACAACAACTGTGGGAGCTAATTAATTTTCAATCTCTCTGACCAACCAGAAAACACGAACAGAGATAAAGCCGGTTTTATGAAAGTGACATTTATCGTCCACAAAAATGGCTATTGCATCACGATGACATGCCAAAATCCACCATACACCGACGCTTGCTGATGTTCAATCGTCAGATAAAAAATTAATTAAAAAAATACCATTCAATGGAAACGGACATAAAATCGTCCGCGAAGTCAAATGAAAACTGTCATCGCGTCGTGTTATCATTTCCACTGAGGGAGGGGCACAATGGGATACGTAAAGCCGAATAGATATTCATACAGTTATATACATTGTAAACACAGCGATCGCCATTTGGTTGGTTGAGCCATGGAGGTAGAAAAGAGATCTCTTTTCTACCTCCATGGTTGAGCCATGGAGCTCCATGGTTGAGCCTAACCTTTCCCCAAACCTTTAAAAAATATTTTGTATGACGCAGTTTTTCACGATCTCCAGTGAGATGGACCGTGCGAAGTTAGACGACCCGTACCGGTTGAAATTGGCCGTAATATTTTGCTACACAATGGCTATTCGCGGTTTTTACTACTCAAACGCCGGTGAGACAAATTCGAAATGAAGTCACATTGGAAGGGAAACTATTGTAAATCGAGACTGCAGACTGCAGTCATTCAACTACAGACAAGACGGGTCGATAAAAATTAAACGAACCCTGACCCCAGGAAATATCTTATTCATAGAGTTCCTTAGTACCAGATGTCGCCGATTACGGCCGTACAACGTACTTTGCGACATCGCTACAGATGCTTGCTAGTTGACATGGGGGTTTCCGATTAAGGTAACCAAGATGGCATCGCAGACAGCAGACATCTCGTTGCCGATTTTCTGTAATTTCCAGGGTATTTTTTTATTTTTAAAATTAACCGAGCATTTCACATTTGTGTATTTTGCCACATAAAAGTTAGTTATCGATGACAGCACAACAATGATGTTATCCATTGCATCGCAATGCTATCAGCACTGTGATCGTTACAACGAAACAAAAAATGTATACTTCAGTTTTAAAATGCCGTTGGAGAAAAAACAGGCGTGAAAAAAAATAATAACAAATAAATTATTCAACAGTATACCATTGGAAGCTACCAAGCCAGAAGCTGTCGACATGTTGCGAGGTCAGTGTGAAACAGTTTACTTATCATTTACAACTGTATATGTTTTTTTATTCCTCTTGCATGCTGGAAACGTCTACGTCTTGTCTGTTTTTTTTTTTTTGGTTTAAGGTAGAGATGCAGTTTATTTGGCTTGCTTTTTAATTGAGTAATTAGACAATGAAGATGGTATTATATATCCAACATGTTATATATTTTCTGAAAGCTTATTATACAAACTTTGTAAAACTTGTCTTTATTTTAAATATCCAGAATGCGTTTTTGATTTTGGGTCAAAAATATGCTTTTTTGGACAAAAGGTGTCAATAATGTGTGAAAATTTCGAGGCAAATGGCCAAAGCGTCTATCAGCTATTTTAATTTAAAGCCCAAGAATTCACCAAAAATAGAAGACGAGAAAATGGCTAATTTGCATATTTGCGCGTTAAACCGGGAATTACTGCTTTGTCATACTTTCTAGATTATTGAAATTGAAATTGAAAGTTAACGTATAGACATAGACATTTGTTGATAGCGCTTGAGGTAAGCAGACAGGGTCCAGGGCAGGAAATCACACATCGCCGCACCGTAACTGAGGCCAGCAACTTATTTGCATATAATAGCAACAGTGACTTGTCAATCAAAGTGCAACGTAAACAAACTTTCGGGATTTTTAATCACATACGTGTACTACGGTTTCCCTATATTTTAAAATCGATTTTTGAGTATGTTCCAGCATTGACAATGCTCCGAAAGTTTAATACTATCCAGCCAAGACTGTCTGGGTAAGAAAAAGCAAAACAAAAAAATGTCACTCCAAGTGCCAACGAACTTGAATCTATACCTTAACAGTAGAATTGTATACCTCCAAGCATGAATGTATGGCTCAAACATTTACTAACCTACCTGCAACGTTTTCTGTACTGAAAAAAACATTATGAAAGATTAGATTCATTAGTTAAAAACTGATATACTATGACAATTACAACTTGCTGTTTTTTTATCATTATTAGCCATGCCTTATAAAGTAT